CGAAGTTTGTTCTATCATGCATATAAAAATTAGAAAATTCTATCCAAGTTTCTAAAAATGATAATTGGCTTTCGAAAAAAAAATCTTTTTAAGAAAAAAAATTTACTATATAGTTATTTTTTCTCTCACACATCTAGCATTTTTTTTTAAAATTGCATGTTTATTTTACATCAAAGCAATTTGAGAAATCCCTCATGTGATAGAGAAAAATTTCTTTGCACGATAGTTTCCCAGGTCGAAAAGAAATGATCGTAAATGGCCGTATGCTAAGAAATACGTGAAAAAGCGGTGATCATATACGACGCTACACGTTCAAACATGAATAAAGTATACGACAGTCATGAACAACTATTGTATACCATCGCATTCGTTCGTAGCATAGTCGTGCGTCGAGTTACACTTACTGAACAAATAGATTTTTCGTTTTGAATTCAGCACTAAATACAATGATAAGTATTTATTTTAGATTCAACCAAACAATAAATTGATCAGTGAATATTTTATTTTAAATAAAATAATTTCTATTCTATTATTTAGATCAATTTAAACAACAGAATAAATAGTATCTTTTTCTAGTGAAGAAATAATATTTCGTGTGTTTAATGGGAAGGTAAACGTAAATCTCTTCCTCTGAAGTGAGTGGAGGCGTACATAGATATGATATCATGCCATGTAGTATATAACCGTGTACGGTCGTAATTTATTCTGTAGACAACCGTACATAATCGTTTATAACTCTTGTAAACCACTTCCTGCGATAGTAGAAGGAGAACGAAAAATAAAAAACCAACTGCGAAAAATCAAGATGGAGAAAGCAAAAATTTCCAAGTTGCTTGCAAGGCATATGTTGCTATGGGTATTTGAAGGCTTTTGTAGTTAGTTTTTTTACTTTTTATTCTATTTCAAACTTTATTATCGTGTAGAGAATTTTTTTCTCTATTAGATAAGTTATCTCCCAAATTGTTAAGATGTAAAATAAAGATGCAATTTGAAAAAAAAAACAAGAATTGTCAGAGAAAAGAAGGCGCAATTTTTTCTCTTCGAAAAGTAAACATTTTCCAGATAGTCGATTATAAATCTAGAAAACTCAAATAGAATCTCTCTGTTTTTTATATGAATGATAGAACAAACTTCAAACTATCGATTGATATAATTAAAATCGATGTAGGATTCTTTCTTTATTTTCAAAATTCCTTTTGCATGAAAAAAGTCTTAAGTTCAAATAACTTTTAAAGCTAGTGTCTATTCCATTTTTGATCCCATACCTTGTACCCGTCAGTGCTTCAAGCATTTGCTCTTTTTTTTAATGATGTTTTTTGTTAACAAGATTTTGTAAGCAATTATTGCTTTACAACGATATTTAGTTGCACCTTCTAAATGATGGATCATAATGCTTCAATAATATAACTTTGCTTCATATGATGGATAAATTATGTTTTTATCAACGTGGTTGGAAAAGCAGGAAAATAATAATGTTAACAACAAAAAAAAACAAAATAGAGCACAATCTGTTTCATAACATGGCTTTAATTTTTTCTTGTTCTATTGAGGACGAAGTATCTCGAGATTCATCGGTGACTTCCAGCATGTTGATGGAAGAAAGGAAAAAAACCTCAGTTAAAAGGGTGCGTATATTAAATGTTGGAAAAAACCGAAAGAACAATGATGCGATTAAAAGAGTGGGAAATTCCCACTGAAAATGACATCATTCACATATATAAACGACCTGCAGTCTGTATAGCCAGACAGTATCTTATTTCTTTTTTTTTTCAGTGCTACACGAAAGTCAAATATTAGGTATGTATGCTTCATAGCTAAACTTCTTGATATACTAATTCGAATCTTAACATTATTGTTTATTATTAGTAATAAATACCGAACTTTTATTTTGTTTTCAGAATCAATTGAAAATCATGTCAAGTGTTATCAATGTATTATTTTCAACTATGAAAGGCAGCAAACATACTGCACAACTAAAAGAAGGTTATACTGTTGAAGACATTAAAAAAATAGTTCAAGAAAAATTTGGCTCTACTAACTATCGACTTATAGTTAATGGACAAGAAATACAAGACAATGATCTCGTTAAATTTACTGAATTGAAAAAATCTATTAAAAACAATACAATCATTTATGTTTGTCAACGAATGGATGGTGGTTCAGGTCTAGTTGATATTGATTCACACAAGGCTACTGTTCTCGTTGATCTTCAAGATGAATTACGTAAAATTCCAACTCAACAGACAAATTCAGAATGTATGATTTGTACAGAAGAAAAAAAGTGTATGAAATATTGCTGTAGTTCAATTATTTGCAAAGAATGTTTTCCTAATCATTTTATCTTTGGTAATTATAAAATCATTTGTCTTACTTGTAATCAAACTGTATCACCAGAAAAAGTTTTTGTTACTCCACAATTTATTCAATCACTTGTTCAATTAGATGAAACAAAATTAATGGCACGGAATATTGATTTTCAAATATGTACATGTGGTGCATTTTCTATCAACAGTACTATGTATGCAAAACAGAAATGTAATAATTGTCAACGATGGTTATGCTTTTTTTGCAATACTGATTGGAATGAAAACGAAAGAAATATGCGTAATGAAAAGTATACATGTAGAGTAAATTGTTTTTGGGAAACTAAAATTACTTATCAATTAGTTACACTTAACTTTAACAAAGCAATGAAAGTACCAAATCGGCGATGTTGTCCAAAATGTTTTGAATGTGGTTCGTATGATCAAAAATGCAAGTATCATACGTGCCCATGTGGTCATAAATTCTGTTTTATTTGTCTCAAAACACAAGAAGAATGTATTCGTGATTTCAAATCGGCATATAATCGACCATGTAGCGCGATAGCACAACAAACATTTAAAATATTTCCACGTCTTTGTCATGAAAGATAATATTTCTCTGTGTTCCTTGTATATGAACAATATCTTGTGATTTTTAGACATTGCAAAAGTCATTGAATAAACGAGATTTATATTTTTATATGTTCGTGCCGTTTTGTAATAAATAATATTTTTTCAGATGAACTATTATTGTGGAATGAAATCGAAAAAGCAACACAATAAACAAAAGAATTCAACCTTAGTCAAAGAATCTCAATTCAAACGTTCAGAACGCAAAAATTTGTCAACAAAGCAGTTTATTGTAAAAACAAGTCAGATAGATGAAACAGTGGTTCATCTGAAGTCGAGCTCATTGAACAAAAATGATGGAACAACTAAATCATCGACATTTTTTCAACGTCTCTTTAAAAGGAAGAAATTTCCCAGTAAGTGAATACCCATTCGTAGCTCAACAAAAGCTATCTGAATATTTTGCATATACAAGTATTAGGAGAACTCTAATAAAGAAAATAAAGATCGAAACATCTTCGTCTTTTATGAGAATTAAAATTCTGTTGAAGTATAGTTTTACAGCTCGGCATCGTAGAAACTGATATAAGAATTATTATTTATGTTTGAAATGTTCCATAAAGAAAATTTTTTATAGGATGTGTTGAAGAGAATTCTCAGACAGTTGTATCTAGATCTACTTCTGATTCAATAAAAGCCACTGAAGATGATCTCAATAGTCAAACCAATTCCAGTCCATTCCAATTCAAGAGATCACATTTGAATACAACTCCACATTTGCCATTAAAACCAAAATTACCACCCATACAAAGTATTTCATCGTCTTCCTCATCAGATCATCAAAGAGTATCAACAGATCATTCGAGTCTTCTTCCAACACGTCATACTCCAGGTGTCTGTGGCCTAAAGAACATTGGTAATACTTGCTATATGAATAGTGCTATTCAATGTTTGAATAGTATACCAGATTTAACCAAATGGATTATGCAACAACAACTATCATTATCTCACATGAATATAATCGATGTTTATATTTCTTTAGTACAATCAATGTGGTCAGGTCATCATGGATGTGTCACTCCTCGTGAATTAAAACAATATGTTAGTCGTTCATCAAGCATATTTTCTGATTCCGATCAAAAGGATTCTCATGAATTCTTGAATTCTCTTCTTAATGCTATAGAAACAGTTGATTCAAATTCATTTCTTATTAATCTCTTTCGAATTCATACTCAATCAATGGCAACTTGCAACAAATGTCAACATTGTGATATTATTAATGAAACAATAACATTTCTTCCACTTTCAATTCCTGAATTCAAATTCGATGATCAAAAGAAAATTTTGTTAGAAGATCTTATCAAAGATTTTTGTCAAGAAGACGAATTAGATGGACAATATTATTGTCATAAATGTAAAATATGTCAATCAGCACGACATAAAACTATAATTATTCAACCATTACCTCGTGTTCTTATTATTCAATTGAAACGATTTCCTTACGACGGTACAAAAAGAAAGATTGATACATTTGTTCAATACAAACTTGAACATCGAAATTTATTATCAAATAATGATAGATATGAATTATATGCGATATCCATGCATAGTGGAAATCTCGCTGGTGGACACTATACAACAATGGCACAAAATTATATAATAAATAAATGGTATCGATTTGATGATAGTTATTTCGAAGAAATTGAATCGAAAAAAGTACTTGTCCCATTTATTGCACGACAAGCTTATATCCTTATTTATTTAAAAAAGAATGATTGAGAAATTATCGATAGTTTAGTAGATATTTAATTCTATCAACTATTCATTTTAGATGGATATTACATACGAATGGAATATACAAGAATTGGCTTTGACATATCATGACAAAAAAAATAATAATGTTTGGATCAATGATATCAATGTAAACAATGTAAAATTATACGCGTTCATACGACCTTCTTCGGTCTTCTATCAGTGGAATGATTTCGGTAAGTCTATTATCTACAAGTTTTTACTTTTTGTAACATAATTTTATTGAATATAGATCTGCGCGTTCTTCGTCTATTTGTGGAACAGTTGTCTAACGAACCAATAGAAGAATCTTCCGGTAATACATCAATACTACCAATGGATACAGATCCAAAACAATCATCTTGTAATTCTTCAATACCTACTGTAATGTTGCCTGTTGATTCCCTTCTCCTCATCTTTATCCGTTATCTTCAATTAATGAAATTTATTCCATGGTCATCACCAATATCTATTTGTGATCAGTCGATTGAAATATCTGAACACAATGAAATAGATGGTTCATCCCAAATTATTTCGAAAAGAAAAAAGTTTAAAAACAAACAGCAAAAACTATCTATTGAACCTGGTTTATGTGGTTTAACTAATATTGGTAATACATGCTTTATGAATAGTGCTATCCAATGTTTAAGTAATATACCTCAATTAACCAAATGGGCTAAAAAACAACAGTTATCAAATCATGAACAGACTGTCACTCAAGCCTATACTTCATTGATTAAATCAATATGGTCAGGTAAAAACTCATATATCTCTCCTCATGATATCAAGAAACGTGTTAGTCAACATGCTCCAATCTTTTGTGATTATGCTCAAAAAGATTCACATGAATTCATGAATTCTCTTCTTAATGCACTTCACTCTGAATTCATAGAAAATGATTCTTCAAAAGAACAATCTTCTATTGTTACCAATCTTTTTTGTATTCAAACACAATCTAGAGTAACATGTTTACATTGTGGTATGTGTGATTCACTTGAAGAGATAACTTATTGTCTTCCATTACCGCTCGAAAATGAATCAACAGTAACTCTTCAAAGATTGTTAAATGATTTTTTAAAAGAAGAATTACTCGATGGACCATATTATTGTTCAAATTGTCAGGATCTTCGATCAGCTAAACAAAAAACAAATCTATGTCAACCATTACCACCAGTAATTATTGTTCAACTTAAACGATTTACTTTTGACGAGACAAATGATAAATTAAATACATTTGTTGAATATCCAATTGTCGATTGGAATGTCGATGATAGTAATAATTCATTGTATGATCTTGTCGCTGTTTCTATGCATGTTGGTAATTTACAAGGAGGACATTATACAACATATGCTCGTTTAAATGGTTTAGATCAATGGTATCATTTTAATGATTTGAATAATGAACCTGTTCATAATACGCATTGTCTTGTAAATCGAAATGCTTATGTATTGGTGTATTTGAAAAAAAATTAAATTAATAATATACATTTCTAGAAAACTAAATTTATTGATTTTTTTTCTCTATTTCAGATGTTTAATTAAATCATAATTTTATACAAAAATTTCATGTATGTCGAAAGATATTCTCTAATAAATGGAGTTTATCATCATTTTTTTTTAGAATGAACTCTCAAAAATCACCTAATGATCAATATTTTACTTCCATATTATCACATTGGAACAATAAAGATTTCTCTCAATCACGACAATTATCATTCTCAGTAACAAACTTGTTCACAACTCCAAAAATTGTTTTCTTTCAAGTATGCAGAACACATCGAAATCGATATAATGTCAAATGTATAGATATATCAGAAGACAATACATTACTACAATTGAAAGAGGAAATCTGTAAACAATTTAATTTAAACATGAAGGTCATAGATTTCTCGCTAACAAGTTTTGATTATGGTAATGATATTTGGTTACCTATTCATGACGTGGATGGTCATAAAACAATCGCTGATCTAAACTTTCCTCCTTACACTATTTTAAACATCGAAAGGGTTGAAAAAGCAAATACAAATATACAAAATATATCGAAAACTAGACATGAGGATTTGACTTTGAAACTTTGTAAACAACCAATGAACAAAATAGATCTTGAGTATCTTTATGTAAATTCATCGATAAGTATTGGTCAACTAAAAGAAGAAGCACGAAAACGAGTCAGGAATCAAAGAACGAAATATTTATACTTGTGGATGGAAAATGGTTGGATAAAATTTGAAACCGCTCTAGACGATTTGACTTTGGCTGAAATGGAATTTGATCAATATTCAATGATAAGTTTTGAAACAGAAGATGATCTCATTCCTGGTCTATGTGGTCTAACAAATTTAGGTAATACATGTTTCATGAATAGTGCTCTTCAATGTTTAAGTAATATTCCTGAACTTACTCGGAAAATTTTGTCATTTGGTAATGAAATAAATGCACCAATTATTGGTGCCTATTCAACATTGATTAAAACAATGTGGTCAGGTGAACATGTTGTTACTATACCATCGTCTTTATTATTGAATATTTCTGAGAATTTGCCACGTTTTCGACGATATCGACAGCAAGATGCACAAGAATTTATGAACTATTTTCTACATCTAATTCATCAAGAGTTAACAAGCGAAAGAACATTAATTACTGATTTATTCTATGGTCGAATTCAATCAAGTGTTAAATGTTTAGGAGGATGTCATTCTATTGAGACCAATGAAGAAGTAATTAGTTTTCTTCCGCTACCCGTCGCAAATGATATCGATGAATATAATATTCTCTATCTTCAAAGTAATGGTAAACAAAAACTAGTTTCAGTTCGTGCTTGTGCAAGAACAATCGAAACACTCATTGAGTCGTTTATTAAACAATATGAACCAAAACTATCATCTACACAGATTCAAGCTGTTAGAATAGAGGATAATAGAATTATAGAAAAATATCCATCTTACACACTGTTGAACGATACGATCAAGCAGCAACTAGCTTTTATCGAACTTCAAAAGAAGACTGTTGAGCAGAAATATGTTGAATTTGCATTTCTCAATCATAAAACGTATAAACCATTTCGACCACCTATCTTCCTCGTTTGTCCATCCTACAATTGTTACTGTTCAGATCTATCCGAACAGATCGATCAGATCCAGAATCATATCTGTTCAGTAACTAAAGCACCAACTTCTGCATGCCACCTTTATTGGATCAATGGCACAGGTAAAACTCATTATTTCGACACTGAAGCGGTTAGAGACAACACTTTGCTGTTGTTCATGCATCGAATTATCCTCGAAATCGATCCTGAATGGATTGAAAAATATATAAATCAGTACAATAATCATCTGTCATCCATCAATCCATCATTAAATAGTCTATTAGTAGATTTTTTTCGTGAAGAGCCATTAAATGGTGACTACTATTGTTCGAAATGTCTTGATCTGAAAACAGCTAGGCAAAAGGCAGATTTAGTTTTACCATTACCACCTGTACTAATTATACAATTAAAACGGTTCACCTACGATCTTGATTCCAGCGCAAAGATTGATACATACATTGATTTTCCACTTCGAGATCTTGATCTTGGTCAATATATTATTCAGAATAATGATGAAAAGACGAATGTATCAACATTGTATGATCTTGTAGCTGTATCTAACCATACTGGTAGTCTTGTTGCAGGACATTATATTACTTATGCAAGAAATGATCGAAATAAAAAGTGGTATTCATTTAATGACGAAACAATTCGAGAAATTATCGATGAACATGATATTGTAACAAAGAATGCTTATATTCTTGTATATATTCAACGAACTACTTTGTAAATTTATTCATTTTTATATGATATTATTTTTTGTATATAAATATTTTAAAAGCAAAATATTGAAATATTGTCCTTTCGTCATAAATATTATTTTTTGTATTTGGTAGTATTTGCTTCAGTGACTGTGCAAAGGTTACAAGATTAGAAAGGAGTTAGGACGATGTATTGAACAATACCTCACAAAAATACCAAAAATAATCTTGCTGTTTTTACTAGGCAACAACGAATTATTAACTATTCTTGGGAAGGTGCATAACTGCTCGATTTGTCATGACCTGCACTAGCGTTGTATTTCCTTTGTTCGATCTTAATGTTTTGTGTCTGTCTCTCTCATTATTGATGATTTTTGCACTCTTTGTTCTGATAAGTTTTTTCTTATATTTTGACACTGAAGAAACCCAATTATTAATAAAAGAAGATTATTGTATGATTGTGAATGTGTGTGAATGGTCTAGCTGTATTGGATGTGGGTATTATACTCATAGAGTATACGTTTCTACATTAAACTGATATACATTGATATTGATTATCTTATATCGAACTAGTCGAATATCTGGCCATATCAAAAGGAGTATACCCGCATACTTCCGCGGCCTCTAGTTTTCTATGCTCTTGTTCAGAAAAAAATGTGTTTTTTCTTTCATTATGATTAGGAAAAAAGACCAGTCGCTCATATAGTAATTGATGATTGCGTGTCACTTCTATCTTTCTATTTATTATCGATATTTCTCATGAGGAAGAAGACTCCTTTTTGTATATACATCAGAGACGAAAGAAAACAAAAAGGACATCATGATTACATCATGCTCGAATGACAAGGATATAGGATATCAATAATTAAATGTGAATTGTAAGTGCTCACTGGATGTCAGTACACTTGGAAAATTATTCAGTTATGTCTGTTAGAAAAGATTGAATTGACTTTGTTTGACGTAAAAAAAAACCAATAATTGCACGAATATTTCTTTCCTACGGACTGCATTTATAATCACAGTACAATCAATGTAACTCACTCTCTCAGTGATGAACAGCAATTCTCACTTTATGATATCATTCATCATACCTACTAATAAAATATTCTTCATCTATACAGAAACATTATCTCAACTAACAACATAGAAAGAAGACAGACAAGCTATCAAACTTATATTTGACTTTTGTTCAATACATATCATATTAAAGTCTTTTATGATAGGCTATCGCTAGTGATCTATGTGCTATAGTTCTTTGGTCTCAAATTTAGGTTGAGAAATGGTTTGTTTAATCATTTCTCTAGAAATTTTTTTTTTTATTTGATCACCAATACTTGGATGTTTGCTAGAGGATCCTATAGACTATGTAATAATATAATAAGACTAACAGATTATGAAACTGGATTGATGAAAAGTTTGAAAGAAAGTATCTGTACAAAAAAACAGTATGACATGAACTTTTCAAATGTATATATTTAATATATATGATAACAGATTTACATAGTAAAATTATTTATTTAATACCTATCAAGCACTCTAATCATACAGTCCAGAAGTGCTGTTTCCAATATTTTTGTTTAATGAAAATTATTCAATGTTATCGTCTTCTTCTACATTGATATTAACATCTTCATCTTCTTTTTTTTTGTCGACTTCTCTATAACTCTTTGCATTCGTAATATAATATATAGGTTCCTTTAACAAAGAATCATCGTTAATAAGCTATTTCAAGATCTATAAGAAAGTATACTTCGTTTTTGGATCATCTCATTTGATAGTCGTTACGCTCAACACCATCTGTAGTGAACATCCAATTTTTAAATCAATCTCCATGTCTTTTATAACTATGCGAATAATAACAATTAATCAAATCGCTATTGGCAAAACAATAGCTACTATGTATAAGTAAATATAAGAAATATGTCAAGATAATATAAAAAATCAAGATCAGACAAATATGACTGATGCGTAAAATGATTCATCACTTTCTATTTTATTAAAAGCTGTCATCTTTTAAATGAAGGTTAACTGTAACCGATCGTCGCCTCTGCATGACCATAGTCCTAATACATCATACATATCTTTTATGGAATACAAAAAATAGAAAAGAACAACAAAATTTCAACCGGAATTGGACACCAAAAGACTACAGATATATTTATGCTAATATAATTTACTCGTTATTGTTGAATATACAGAAATAATTGAATTATATTCTTGACAAACGATTCATTCTTCTTATTTATCATCACTGACCAAACATTCTATCATACAAAATTGAAAAAATAATATGAGTAGAATGATGTACAGTTAATATTAGATACACTTCGAATTTCGCCTTTCACTGATTTATTGCTCTCTTTCTTTAGTCGAAAAATGAAGAAACTATAAAGAATTTGTTTTAACATATTCAATTGATAGAATATTCATATTAATGAGTAATCCATACGAGAAATATATAGCAATAGGAAAGATCAATTCCGTGTAACATCATTTATTAACCTATACTATGGTATCTAAATCAGTTTTTAAAATTTATACAAATCTGCTAAATGCATATATACACATATATAACGACGTCCTATTACTATGTACTTTATTTCGTCTGAAGTTCTGCAAGTCACCAAAAAGAACTAAAAAGATATATTCAACATTATTAATGAATCATTTAAAACAGTTATATCTGATTAATTGGCATTTGTATTATAGGAGAGATTGTTTTTCCGTTTCTGACGACATCGTATTAACGTTGATGTTTTTCTTAATGAATTTAATTGACTAGATAGATCACAGTGACACTGAAAAGCAATTACTACATGCACCTTGCACTGAAAAGTACATCAATTTGAAATTTAATCATACTGATATATATCTACCTTTGCCATATGAAGGAAGCGCACTGTGATACAAGTTAACAGGTAAGACATAAGTATTCGAAGTCACTTGAAAAAGAAAATAAGATCATATCAATAATCCAGCGACATCTATTTTTACATAGATTTATTAGACCTATGATTCTCTGGTAATTTATCTCTTTCTTCTTTCGTTGATCTAGTATATCATTGGCGACAAACGAAAATTTATATAAACATGTTATGAAATTACTTAAATATTAGGTAATTATATTTTTTTTGTTAAAGTTATTTGCTCGAATAGAGCCGTGAGGTGATTCATTTCCCTTCAAATCGATTATAGAATGCTTGATTGATCCCTATATACATTTGTTTTGGTAGTTTTAATTTACTAGTTATATCATTTATTTTTTTTTAATACTAATAGAGTATTATTTATTCATCATGTGTCATATTTTCTTCGTCGTCTCGTTAGATGTTTTCGTTTCTCAATCATGATATCAAATTAGTAAGCATATAATGATCGAACTTTGATTTGTTTTTTCGTTATACTACTTCAATGCATAAAGTAATCAGTCAACTATCATTCGATTTATTTGTATTTCTTTTTCTTTGCTGAATTGATGAATAAAGTTAATCTTTTATTTTTTGAAAGCAAAAGAAAAAAAAATATTTATTAAAAACTCTTAACTTCTTCACTTTTTTTTTTGCAATCATTGATAATAGCACACTTATAGAATATTGGTCATAGCACCATTAAACTCAATTTTTGACGGTAAATTAATTTTTTTTTTCATATGTAAAATTTTTTTTAAAGCACAAAATTAAAAGATCGAGATGATAAATAAGGAGTTGTTATTCATTGAATAATTTTCAAAAGAAATAAATTAAATTTTCTATCCTTTTGTTTTATTAATAATGATGTCATCTTCAAAGATTGATGAATATGAAAAAATTGAATAGCGTAAATAATATTTCTATATCTCGAAGTTAGGATCGAAGAACTTGTACCAGAACATAGTATTCATCTATATGTACTAGACATATCTAGAGTGCGACGAATATTAATCACATTATTGTCATATTTTGTTTGTATTAGTTGTAAAACTACTCACTTCCTTCGTTGATGCATTTGTGAATTTGTTGTCATGTAAAATAAAGACATGTGTGCTATATCGTAATTATTTGTTGAATGAAATATCACTAAATAGTTGTTTAAATAAACGATATAAAATATTGTTTGATTTTAAAAAATATCTCGAAATAAAATTTAACATTTTTTAAATTCTCTTTTAACAGTTAATAATATGTCTGAAAAATGATATTCGAGTATTATTTATCAAAATTTCGTAGCATTTTAGTAAAATAGATTGGTTTCGTAATTAAAAATTAACTCATATATAAATTATCCATAGTTTCAGTACACTAGTATTTTACTTTCTGAATGAATAATTCTCGTATAGATTATACTCATTTTTCTCGGATGAAAAAGATAAAAATTTAACAAAAGAATAAAATTTAATCATGTCTACAAACGTGATTGTACGAGCTCTTAACTAGGAAAAAATGATGATAAAAATTATTACACTTTCTCAAATAGAATTCTACACATTTAGATACCTGGAAAAACTATGGATACCTATAATTACCTTGATTTTCAAAGTAACCATGGGTGTCTATGTCGACCAAACAGGTCATATTCCAGTTGAAAACAAAAAATGCAACCCCATAATAGATGTCTGTATAATATTAGTTTCAAATTCTATCTTATTTTTTAGCTTTTGTAGTGTTTGTAGTTTTTACAAGTATCCTATATCTTTCCATATACCGATAATGTTTTCTTTTATTCATTTTACATGAATTTAAACTGTTTGAAAAATATGTTTAGAACCATATTTTCAAGATCAAAAGAATAAGATATTAACTTGTTGTATTCAGTCACAATCTCTATTTTCTTTTGTCACTTATAGCGATTCATTCGTTAGATAATCAAACATAATTAACACATCAGTTGAATAAAAAATGACTATTAGTCAGTTGATAATGATTTGTAAAGATGCCTTACAAAACAGCAGCGGCACAAAAAGGTCAGAGGCAGGAGCAAACACTTTGTGACATTAGAGAAAAGAGTGTACTGACGCAGTCAAAATTGAGAAGAAAAGTCTTTTTTGGTATCAGAAGTAGTATAAATTTGTCATATTAAAAGAAAAAAGTAAGACTTCCAGAGAAGCTCGTAGATTCAACTAGAACTCAAAAGCAATTTCATGCGTAATGCAAATTGTTACAGATTCCTAAAAAATTCTATTTTCTTCTAGTCTTTTCTATAAGGAACATTTTTTGACGTTTAGCTCATAGGTTTCTTAATGCTTTTGCGGTTAAAAGTGATCACGCTCCTGTCAATTTTTAAAAATAAAACAATTATTTGATTCGGGCTTTCGCAGTAAGCAATCAATTTTCAATAAATAGACTTCTTACTTTGCTGCTTCCGACAGCCAAATTTCTTGAAAAACCTTTTATAGGTTTTGATCATCGCATATAGTACGCAATCAATGTCATTTTTCGTAAGAATTCTCTTTACGATATTTTTCTGAATTTAGTTATCATTATTGAATGCAACAAAACTTACACAATTACTTGAGAAATCGATTAAATAACTTCGAACTTTGTTGTTGTTTGGAAATATTCAAAAGATTCCAAAAATTTATTAACTTATCGTAGAAATTAATCGAAGAGAAATAATCAGAAAATTTTCCAAAAAAAAAAAAGATGTAGTTAAAATCTCTTCCAATCGGAATAAATTGTAACTCAAATTTCTTCAAAATCGATGAAAGTTCTCGCGCCAATTTCCAAAAGGAGAAACTTTCTTCACACTATCTCGACTGCACCACCACTGTCATTATACTATTCGAAATCTGTTGTCTTTTCTATCACATAAAAATCATATTAAATCCGAATTCGAACAGATTAAGAAAACAATTGATACCATCGCAGAAATCGAAAAATCAAACTTCTTATTTAATTAATAAATATATATGAAGAGTGAATATAAATAATTGGTGTTAGTTGTAAACACTCTTTTATTTTCAATAATAGAATTGAACTTTTTCATATTTATTCATAGTAAACTACAGTAATATTATCTTAAATTTAGTACATTTGTTAATTCAAATAAGATTATCATTATTCTTAATTTAACATTCAGTTTAATATTACGAAATTTTTAATAGTTGACTTAAAAAGTGAAAAAAAAACTGACTGTACATAATTTTATTACACTTATATATAACCTATACACATTTCAGACATATTGCCAATGACAATTTATGTTTTTAATTTGTTCGTTGGGTAGTAAGAGCATTAATTCGATCCGATTATATCTACTCATGTTGAACTTATAATATAAACGTTATTCTTTAATTTTGTTGCCATGAATTCAGACTAATATTCATTTTAGAGATCTATAGTTATAAGATTAATTTATATGACCCTATTATATGTTTTTAATATTTTTTTGTTTTTAATCAATAGATTAAAATGCAAACAAGATACTTAGTTATGATACTGGGTATAATGAAAAGATTTTAATGTAGAATACATATAGTTCTTCCATTCTATATTTCAATTGATTGTGTAAGAATTTCTTGAAATTTTATTAGTTTGTTTTATGATGTGTATTTTTTTTCTTGTTTTTTTCCATATTGCACCTCGGTCAAATAGAGTACGTATAGTTCTTTGCAGATGTTTATTGAGTCATCAATTAATATAAGCGTCATTTCGAGAAAGGGGAAAAAAATGAACGAAAAATGAGTAAGAAAAGCAGAGCGAGATCTACAGTATGTACAATATATTCTTCTTCTTCTTTCTTCTATAAAGAACGAATAGACGAAGAAAACGTAAATAATAATATGGGGTGACTTTGACGTTCGATGCTGATTGGTGATGTTGTTTTTACAATGACAGATCTCTATAAATAAAGCTCAGGAAAAATCTTAAGTAAGACAAACTTGATCAGTAAATATTGTTAATATTTATTGATTCCTATCTTTAAATTGTATTGATAACAAAAAAACAAATGACATTTTACCTTTTTTTTTTTTTTAACATTTGTAACCAAAACATAGCGAAGACGTTCTTTCGACGTCAGTCAACCAAATACATATGTGTATTCGTTAATAAGTTTTTTTTCTACGCCATTCATCGTATTTACATTTAGCTATTGCTTTAAGGTTTTTTGTTTTTACATTGAATAAAATAAAAAGAATATTTTCTTTGTAGATATTATGGAAATGGTCAATAGTCGACCTGAATCAATGATTATTCAAACAGAAAGTTCTGGTGAAATAAATTCAAATGATACACCTATTAAAAGATCTTCAATAAAAGATGAAATATCATCATTATCATCAATAGATAGTATTAATGATAAAACTGTTAATCGTAATGAAAAAAATTCTTTATTAGAAAATAATTTAGCAACATCATCATCAACAACTGATAGTGATCTAGAGAGTGAACAAAATGATAATCTTCAATCGGAAGAAAAAAAAGATAATGATAAAAATCGAGCACGTGTACCAAAACGTGTAAAATATTTTCGTAAATTCTTTGAATCTGAAATACCAGATGATATGCCAGAAGTAATTGATTGTTATGTTTGTGCATATTACGGTGATATATTATTACAAGGAAAAATGTTTATAACAGACCGTTATCTTTGTTTTTATTCACGTATTATAAATTATGTAACAAAACATGTTTATCGTTGGAATGAAATTGATAATATTACAAAAGAACGTATTGCATTTATATTTCCAACAGCTATTGGAATTAAATTAAAAGAAACAAAAAGGAAAGTTATATATGCATCATTTCTTTCACGTGATGATGCTTATGATAAGATAGTATCTATTTGGTCACGATTCAGAAATAATATAAACCAATCAGGTGAGGATGAAAGTTCTTCAACACCAAATGGATCATTAAAATCAACATATAAAAATGATAAAATGAAAAATACAAAACGTAATTCATATGAATCTGTTAATGACTCTGAACCAGAAGAAGTTTTAGGAATGTGTTTAGATGAAAATAATGCTAATATACAACGAGTTAAATCAATTTCACCAAAAATTCGTGATGAAAAACAAAAATCAACAACATTAGTTAATACATATAAAGACAAAGTACTTGAGAAAAATCCAATTCTTAATCAAAAATTACCAAATCGATTAGATGGGAATAGTCATAATACAAATAAATCTAATCGATTTTCACGTCATTCAAAAAAGGAACAAAAACAAGATGATGCAACAAAAAGTAAGATTTTCCTAAATATTTTTTACTCATTCATTTGATCATGTATTTTATACGTAAATCGTAGAGAGTTGCAGATCTATAGTCATGATTTTGATGTTATTACTCTTTCGACCAGTTTCAATAAGGAATAATATATATAAATTGATGGTTGAATTTACTTTTCAGATCACATTATTTTCGTTTCATCTAAGCCAAAATTTATAATGTATTTGAAAGTAGAGTAATAGAAGAATGAAGAGTGAGAGATAACTTCATATTTGTTAAGGAAGGTTATAAATGATTTTTGTTTTTTAGTAATTCTCTTCCTGAAAATACTGTTATTATTATTCGTGACGTTTCGGCAAGTCGATGCTGCCTTCTTCAGACTTTATTAATAGAAATAAGTTAACATTCAGTGTTTAAATACAAAATGTACTCAAATGAACTCTAGATTTTTCTTCATTTTTCTATTCTTCTTTTTCTTTTCTGTTATGATTTTTGATAGTGGGTCGGCAGAAGATGATATACAATGTCACTTCTACCAGCTATCACCGTCTTGCCGACCTACTATCAAAAATCATAACAGAAAAGAAAAAGAAGAATAGAAAAATGAAGAAAAATCTAGAGTTCATTTGAGTACATTTTGTATTTAAACACTGAATGTTAACTTATCTCTATTAATAAAGTCTGAAGAAGGCAGCATCGACTTGCCGAAACGTCACAAATAATAATAACAGTATTTTCAGGAAGAGAATTACTAAAAAAACAAAAGTCAAAGTGAGATATAACCTTATATGGATTGTTTTCTGAGAATATATAATGAATGATCGACGTTTTGACAATTTTTATTTAGTCATATACACCGAAGGTTTCAGATAAGAGTAAAAGACAACTCATTATAAACTAGACAGAATCCGAGCTTGGATTGAGTCGTGTTCAAATTTGAACCTGTCAGATACAAAAATCTTCGATTTGGACCTGAACTGTATTCATAATTTCAACAAAAGTTCTTAGTCTGAGTCTGATAGTCGTTCAGAAAATGTAAGATACTTTTTATCGATTATTTATATTTTGCTACTAAAACATTCTAGACATGTCTCAGACAATCTTGACGATGATCTTATAATTTCAGTACTAATTCATCTCTCAACTTTTGCATGATGGAGAGTATTGTACAAAAAACAAGAAACTAAATTAGTCTTATTAATGTTTGAATAATATTATATAATGAAAACCAATGTAGATAATGAAAAAAAGTGTGTGAATAATGAATTTGACTATTCTGTCAATGTTATCAATATGATCTTTATTGGAAAAAGTGATAAAATATACAATGAGTCATGAGTTTTAAAAAAATTAAAGATTATGCGTAACTGCATATAAAAAATCTACTTTTTGATCACTATCAAATATAATGATGTAAATATTATAAATAAAATACTTTTTCTATTGGTGATACGCATCAATGCATCACTAAATATTCGAAACTAATATTAAAAAATATCTTTTACAATTGGATTAAATGTGATCAAGTTCTCTATCTTTAGACAATCGAATAGAATTAAAAAATGGTTTTTAAACTTGATGTATAAGTTGATTTTAAATTTTATTCATTTATTCCTATTTCCTAGAACTATACTTTAACCATCCACTTCTTTTATATGTGATTGAATAGATATATTTTAAAAAATTTATTTATTTTTTTTCTAATATAGGAAACAATTCTTTGGTAACTCTTCAAACACGGAATACTTCGTTGCTAGGATCAGAAAATCAAATTATTGATCAAACAGTATCTCTACAAGAACCAATCTTATCTGAATCAAATTCATCATCAGCCTTAAATCCAAATATGAATTCATCAATAACACAAATAAATGATAATGGAATTCCAACAAAAATTTTTAATTCAACTATTTCTTTTATTAATTCAATTATTCAAACTATATTATCATTATTTCATGATTTTCATATATGCCCAACTAAAACAACGACTTTTATTTTATTATTTCTTACAGTTTTATTTTTTCATTCATTTTATTTAATTCTATTAGCCTATCGAGTAGAAAGTCGTTTACAATCATTACATAATGTATGGCCATCATCTGTGATGAAAAACTCATTGCAGTCAAACCCAAACCAACTATAGTAGTACAGATAAATTATTCCATATCTTAAATATATATATGTGTATCCGTCCAAAATAAATATTGAGCTCCGGTTATATTGCTCATTCGGTGACGAACGTAAACAAGCGGTATTTATTTTTAAATATATAAACAGTTCTTTTAATTTCGGTTTTTTACTCTTGAAATTTTTATTTCATTCGCGATTTGTTTGTTATGTTCAGTAGTAAATTGGATGGGTTGCATTATTAACTAAACATACTGAATATAACAACTGTTTTATTCATTTTACTTGTAAAACTGTGTGTTTGTGTGTGTGTGTGTTTATGGAAGCTTTCCACATTTCATAACATGATGATTTTAAAATGAAATCTTTGAGAAATTTTATGATGAATATTTGAAGATAATGCTTAAATTGACTGTTGACATCAAGCAGCAAAAAAATATTATAGAAAATAAAAAAAGTAATTGCACGAAGTAAAGTAAAATCGAGAAAAATATTCAGCGAAACTTATTATTTGTTGATATTTAATTAGCATTTTGTTGAAAAAAAAAATATTTTTTTTAAATACATCACAATGTGATTGACTTCGTCACTAAAATATTATTCAATAGACTTCACTTTGTTTACATGACATAGCAAAATCTTAAAAGTGTCATACTCAGACACTTTTAGAATGTTTTCATGCATTTACCTTTGTAAATAAAGTTTCATTAAAAGAAATATACTCGAAGTTCATTTGCAAAGAAAATATTTATATTACGAGGTGAACCATAAAAAAAAACTAACCATCTTTTGATAATATTGTTTTTTTTTATTCGATTCTTCTTTGAAATGATTGTATTGACGAAAAACTTCCAGATAGAGATTTTTTTTTCTATTTTGAAAACATTTCAATACAGTTTGAGAGAAAAAAGAAATTCATCAAATATGAAATCTGTGCTGAAATGCTATGTATTCTCATCGAGAAGTAAAAAGAAATGTCTGCATATAAGTTACCTTTGGTTTGTCATTTGCTGTAGCTATAGAGTTACTAATGCGCTGAAAAATGGTTTAACAAAAACAAATTTTCTTTTTCTATAATTAGCTCAAATCCAGATAGTGATTTGAACAGCCAATGAAATTTTCTATCTAATACATTCTATACTAGATGAACTATGATGGCAAAGTTTCTAAAAAAAACCAGACACAGGAGTTGTCAGGTCTCGGAAGCTATTTTTTAACAATACCATTTTAAAGAATATGAAATTCTGAACAAAATAAGGGATTGTCGTATTTTTCTACGAGCTTCCCTTAAAAAGTTAAAACTATCACAAAAAACGTAAAAAAAAATTGAAATTTATCAAAAAATGTCTTTTTTCGATTTTTGTGATATTTTTAACTTTTTAAGAGAAAGTCGTAGAAAATGTGGCGATCCCTCATTCTGTTCACAATTTTGTGCTCTTTAAAATGGCGTTGTTAAAAAAAAAGATTCTGCGATCTGGTAACTATCGTGTCTGGTCTTTTAGAAACCTTGCCATTGTAGTTCATCCATGGAATCTTGATATAGAATGCATTAGGTAGAAAACTTTATTGGCTTTGAGCTATTTGGACTTAAAAAGGATTGTTGTTAAAAACTTTTTTATTTTCATATAATTATTCAACTTTTGTGGTAATTGCTGTTGCGTGTCTTTTGATTATACTGTACTTTGTCTCTAACTTTGAACTCAAGATTTATCAGTAATTCACATATATTATTGTAGCCATTGAAAGACTTTAAATTTCAGCATATAGTTGAGTGTAGTTAAAATCAATTCAAGTGATGAGATAACTAGATTAGTACGGTACATTGCCTTATGAAAAAATATGCAACACTACTATTGCACGAACATTTTAATAAAAATATCAAACTAGGCAATTATTCAAAATAATTTACAATATGCACTTAAGTTGTAAAAGTCTAGAAATATAGTTTGAAAATTTCAGATCATTATACATACTGTTTCGTTATCGCATTGTTACAAAAAGATTGAGAAAAAAAACAAGGATGCTTTTATCTTGAAACAGAGATCATTTTTTAATAAATTCTTTTTTTGTCTCCGTCTGCCATGAAAGATTTTCAAAATGAAATCAATTCTATTTAGTAGCTTTTTCTTAGTTTTATCTATTACAACAGGTATCAATTCTTTACAAGAGAGTAAGTTTTTTATTAACACAAAAAAAAAAAATAAATTGACATTGGACTTGTGATCATCTTTTAAATAAATTTAATAACATATATAAGAAAATTTATTAGCTAAATTATTTCTCTAATTTAAGTATTTTAAGGCTTCGATCTCAATCCAATTTTTATGTTCTGAATAGCAAAAACAAAAAAGAAAACATTCAACTAATAGTCACAAAAATGAAATAAAAGTTTTTTTTTTGTTTAAAACCTTCTGTTTCCTTTCGCATAAAACAAAAGATAATCTATTAAACAATTGCTGAATGGTATTTTTAATATACAAATGTAATGAATATATTGAATCAAAACAAACATAATCAGATGAAGACACAAGAAAGTGAAATTTTTCGGATATATAAAGTGAACAAGCACAGATTTTCTACTGTTACCAAATAGAGATAAACAAGAAGAAAAAACAAATAAATATTTAACTTCTATATGGATGATGTCTGACTTGTGGTATTACATTTGAACGTTGTACAAGTTGGGCAGGTTGTTGAGCCACAACACCAGCAGCACTTGTTGTTTGTTGTTGTGCAGTAACATTTGGATTTGATGTTGGTTTAATCATTTGATAAGTAGCAGCAGTCGGTTGTCCAGTAGCAGTAGTAATTTGATAAGCTATTTGTTGTTGAGATTGAGATGGATGTTGTTGTGTAGTACCATTATGTAGAGTAGGACCTGCTGAATACATAACTGGAGCTCCTGTAGTTGTGACTGATCCCGGTGTTGGAGTTGCTTGTGCAAGAACATAACTTTGACCACCTGCTTGATAAATAGCTTGACCACCGGTTGATGTATAATACATTTGTTGTGGTACAGCTTGTTGAGTAGCATATTGCATCTAATTAGATCGAACAAGAATTTATTATTGAAATTCCTGTTTTTTTTTGAATATGAAAAGAGGGAGAGGAGTCGATAATTGATATAATCGACTTCCACAGAAGTATGATTTCTGTTATGTTTAACTGTTACTTAAGATGTTCCAGTCGATTGAAATAGTCAAATGACTGTCGTATGTACACTAGAGCTAGTAGTTGAGGATTCTTTTTATCTATCAATCCGAAGATTGACCAGACTAATATCCATATGGCTCAGTAGCGCTTTCCAATGGCTTCAAAATAAGATAAAAATATCATAGAAAAAACACTCCGATATGCTCCCATTTAGAGTATTGATCGGATTGTTCACTGGAGTCGTGTGATAAACGCCACATAATACTATCACTCACTGGTTTGATAGCGTGACAAAATAATATAAAAGCATCAAAGAAAAAAAACACTGACCACACAAAGAAACTCCAAAAAGACTATTCTCGAGATATGACTTGGATAAAAACTAATATGATATTCTGAATATTTATTCATCTGCTATTTAGAGTTCTACTATTGTTTTATAACCTTAGAACCTAACTCTCACTGTCAAAATAACTTTTTGATGTACTTCATTTTTTGACCCAATCCTGAGGGGGAGCAAAGGTGAATTTTTCAATGAAAAAAGAAGGTTGCGGAAATCTTTGGATTTCATGTAAGTTCACCCAGTCTTGGGTGCTCATTCAGAATATCATATTAGTTTTTATCCAAATAGTATTTTTCTTATCAAAATGTATTAAATATCAGGTAATGACTTGTGTTTTTTTCTCGATGTTTTTATGCCTTTTTGAATCGCTTGAAAAGTACCGTCGAACCATATGAAAATAGCCTGATCGCTCATGAAACGAGTAGATAAAAAGTGTTGATTATTATCAACAGTTAGCTTTAATGTACATGTGACGATCATTGACTATTTCAATCGATTTGTGCACACCATAAATCAGTCGTATACGACTAATTCTACTAGAGCTCACTTTCAGACATCTTGTATGATAGTTTGACATAGAAGAAATCGAACTTCTCTAGGAAGTCATTTTTATCAGTTATCGATCACTCTTCTCTGATTTTCTACCTGAGCCATTAAGTTAAGTTGCTGTTGTTGAGCTTGCGTTTGAGCCATAGCAGCATAATAAATATTATTCGCAGAAGCACCATTAGCAGATGGTTGTGGTTGTTGTTGTTGTGAATGATATGCATGTTGATATTGTTGTTGTTGTTGAATAGCAGCAGCTGTAGCTGTTGCAGCACTTTGTTTTTGTGGTGAAATAACTGTTGATATTGGTTGTGATTGAATTACAGCTGATGATGAAACAACTGAAGTTGAATTTGCTGAAGAACCATTTGAATTATTTGTATTAGCTGACTGTGGTGCACCAATATAATGAGTTGGTGATTGAGTTATATAAGCTACAAAATAATTTCTATTTTTAAAATTTCTATTTTCTCATATATATTAACCTTGTGTAGCAGCTGAATTTGTTGAAAAACTTTGTTGTTGTGCATAATTAGCTGGCAATTGAATATATTGTGTTGGAGCTGCTTGTATTGTTGGTTGTCCAGCATATTGATAAACGATTGATTGTGGTTGACTACCAACCATACCAACAGGAAGTCGTGCTGCAGTTGCTGTTAGTTGACCAGCTGCATTGAAAGAAAAATATTGTTGTTGTTGTTGTTGTTGTTGTTGTTGTTGTTGTTGTTGTTGTTGCTGTTGTGCAAATTGTGTTTGTGATTGTATTGTAGCAGTAGTTGCTGGTGCACTTTGAGCGAGTAAAGCATAACTACCAGCAGCTGTACGTACTAATGTATAGCCAGCAGGTATACCATTAATTAAACTTTGTTGTTGTTGATTTGCAGCAGTGGCTGCAGCTAATTGAGCTGCCTGTTGTTGTTGAACAATCGCTTGTAATTGAGCAGCATAAAGTGCTGGTTGTTGCATTGTTTGAC